GAAAAAAAGGATTAAATACGTCTAAATAAAAAAATAAAAATAAATAGTGGACAAAAAAATACACAAAAAAAATAGCATCAATATGTTGAAAATTTCCACCATTGATTTGTTTTCCTTTTTATCTTATTTTTTCTTCCTCTTTTAACAATGATAGAAAATACTAAAAGTGAAAAAAAAATATAAGAAGAAAAAAAGATCAAACATATTTCAATCAAAAAGAAGAAAATAGTCTGATGACAAAAAAGAAGAAAAAATAGAAAACAAATTAAAACTAAACTTGTTGGAAACTATTTCTTCTATTTTTTTGTTTTATTTTTGGTCTTATTTTTTTCTTTTTTTGTTTCAGTCTATTTTCTTCTTTTTGATTTAGATTATTTTTATTTTTTAATTAATATTCTTTTTTTATACAAATGAGAATTGAACACATAACCTAATACAACCTACCCAAATTCATTATTACCACTAGACCAATCTAGTGACTTAATTATATTCTTTTCTTGTCATTGGTGTAAGTTTTCAACATATTTGCTTTTTTTTTTTTTCTTGTTTACTTTTAGTCTTTTCCGTAACTACTCTAAGTTTCCAAATTATTTGGTCCTATTTTTTCTTTTTTGTCATCTATCTATTTTCTTATTCTAAGAAAGATAAAATAAGTAGATTAGTTAAGTTTCTAATGGTGTTAAGAATGATTTTGGATGAAAAACCATGGGGGAATAAATGATTAAGAGTAAAAAACATATGACTATAAGTAATTCAAAGCCAAAGCATAAAGGTTTTTTTTTTTTAAATTTTCCCAAAAGTTTTCTTAAAATACGCTGCATATTTTTATTTGAACGAAAAATTATGGGTTTAAAATTTTGTATGAATTAAAATTATCTCTTACATGTATACATAAAAGTATTTGGAAGTAATGTGGGGTTATATAAGAAGAAAAGAGAGAAATTTTTTTTTTGGCCCCACACTTTAATTTATTTGTGTATAGAAGATATTTTATCAACTAAAACATAAGAAATTTTAAAACCAAAAACTATATTTAAAAAGTTTAGAATAAATATCGATAAAGAAAACATCATTATGTGCAAGACTCTAATCCATACACACTAATTAAACATCATTATTTGGTTATGGATCTGGATCTGGATCCTCTTATCTGGAATTATAACCATCAAATGTTGGTCACTAAAAATAAATGAAGAGAAAGAAAAAATATTGAAATAAATAGTTATAAAATATATGCATTGATTTATCTTTGTATGGTTATGATTTTTCCATATATTATAATCATATTATATTTCTTTTCATATTAGAAGATCCAATTCCAATTCGGATAGAGTTGAGAAGCACGATAATTTATTACAAGATCCGTGTAAGATGGATCAAATTACATTAATTAATATTTCTTGCTGGGGAACATAACTCACCAATTTATTTAATTAGATTGCTGTTGTCAACTGAGAGCAGAGATTCGTATGTGCTCATGAAACTAGGAAAAAAATGTTACTTCATCTTATTTAGTGTGTGCATTATTTAAATTTTATGGGTTATCATGTTTTAATATTATTTTCAATATTATATAAGATGTGTCACACATTAAATAGTATAGCGTAAGCATTTTTTTCTTATTTTAAAAATATCTTTAAAAGCGAGAGGAAATAATCTTGATTTAAATGAATAATAAAAATTATTCAAAGGTCATATGTTTATTTAGCGAAAGTCATAAACTTTATATTTTCTTAATCATATATTCATAAATAATCTAATCGTTAAAATTTGATTCCTTCACATTTCACTTTCATATATATTGAATTTTCTTAATTAGTCATAATCTTATATCAATTATTATTTAATTAAATTAAATATAAAAATATTAAGTTAAAGCTAACATTTTAACTAAATATAAAAAAGGTTATGTTTATCTCATACAAAATTTTATATAAGATAAACAATTTTCCTACACAAACAAAAGAGGGGTGGATCCCACCACTTTTTTTTTTTCTCTTCTTAGCTATGGGTCCCACTTATAATTTTTTTTATAACATAAAATAATTACTCTCCTACGACATAAGTATAAAAACACACTTAATATAAATAAATTAGGTCTAAAGATCCAAAGGGGAACAAAGGCTGAACAAACCTATCTCACCAACTACCCTACCAAAAGTCTCCGGGCTTCCCGGCCACACCTGAGGGAAAACATATCGGAATGGACAAAATGCCAAAATGGAAAGGACAGAGAGAAAGGATCTAACTCATCTGAGATTTTGTGCCTTAAACAATTAATTAATTATATGTATAATTAGCAGCTCCAAGCTGATACCCACTTGCACGATGTAGTGTATTTGTTAACGGGGCAGGTTTTTGTTTTAAATTAAACTTATTTTTAAAATAATTAAGTATGTATGTATCTATTTTAATTTAATTTTGAATATATCGTAATTTTAATCTACTAAAATTTAAAATTTAATACTGTTATGTCCTTAGGACAAAGATATCTAGTAAGAGATTAATGAGTAGTCTATTTGGATCTAAGCACTCTATAAGGTATATGTGAATCAGATGCCTTTAAGGGTAGATTATTGTGCACTGAAATAATGACGTTTTGTCAAAGTGGTGGTGTGTCTGCGCAATCATGATAATATAACAGTAATAGAGAGAATATTCATACATATAGATTTTACCTCTTCTGAATGCCTTGTGACCATGTTGTTGTTGTCGCATTAACATTCGTAATAATTAATGCCTCTTTCCTTTATTTATATTAACTTCCTTTTCCTGGGCCTACTAAAGTAAGAGCCCATAACAAATACATTTTTACTTCCATACTTTATAAACTAATTAACTTATATAATTTAAAAGAGTTATTTCCTTGGTAAGGGTGGTGCAAACAATGCTGAGATTTTTATTTTTATTTTCGTTTTGATTGAATACCATTCGCTCCATGTTATGAATTCGTATAAGTTATTTAAAAATTGTTTCATAAGTAATTCAAAATCGAGATCATATGCAAGCGATCAAGCTATTTCCCTATTGTTAATAATATTCAAGCTTTAGTTAAATTCAAAATTGATTAGGATAGCAAAAAAAATTCAAAATTGATTAATTTAATTCAATTCAATGCTAACTGCCCCAGTGAATTTCAATTCAACTTTAATTAATTTAATTCATCCAATGCTAATTACCACTTAATTTAGGTTTTAACCCATCAATCATCTCACACTCCGTTTGCTTGGCTTATTTCTCTATTAATCAGTTCTTTTCCCTATTTTCCTTTATTTTTTTAAAATGTGTCCGACACGGTAATAAAGAATACCGTGAAAGGGTAGCATGTTACTTTTTTTTTTTTTTTGGTAAATGGGTAGCATGTTACTTAAATAAGTAAGGAATCAGCTTGGCTCGCATTAACATATCTATAATAATAATAAAGATCGAAAGATTTACTTTTATAAAATAAAAGACCCAAATCAAAATTTAAATTTTAGAAATCCCATTCTTCCAAAAAAAAAAAACTAAAATTAAAATTCAAGTATATTTATGTGGATTAAGAAGATATTTGAGCCATTATTTTATATGATTTGCTTTTTCTGCAGTTATTGCAGATAAATTATTTGCAGTAAGTCCAATATGATATCATTTTGGGGCAGAAATCATGGTGTTTTTGTAATTTTAATTTATTTCAGTGTTATAATAGTCTTTATATTTATAATTATTTAAGATTTCAATACCAAAACGACGTCGTTTAGGGAATAAATGCAGATAACTTATCTGCATTAACTGGAAAAATATTTTCCCCTTATTTTATCTATCAAAACATCAATTATCATATTGTGTGGTGACAGATTAAACTTAAAATATTTGCTATAATATAGAATTAGTTAATAACCAGCAAAAAAGATTAAAAGAAATTAATAATTAACAATAGGTATATTTTAAAATACTTAATAATATTAAATCAATGATTAATTAAAATGGAAGTGTAAAACATAGTATATTTTATGATCTAATTTAAATTTACTATTATTATAACAAATTCTAAAGTAATAACATATAATTTTTATATTATTTTCTCCAAAATCCCAAAGCAGCCTATACAATTATTTTTTTTGGTGGATGAAGCAGCCTATACAATTATTAAAGTTTCATCGGGAAACCCACAACTTCATATCAATCTTCACGTAGATGCATCTCCTTGGAGGTAATAATGTGATTTAATGCTTGGTATTTTGATATAAAATTAACAATAACTTTCACGTTTAATTAATCTTATTTGAAGAATAAAAATCTCAAATTGATTCTTGCTAACTAATGCGTTTCTCTTATAATTAACAACATCAATTTTAATTATTGCATGGTTTGAGTTCTTGATAGTGTTGTTAAAATCGCAAGATAAAACGTAGGATCGTACAATTTTCTCACCTTGGCCGATTCAAATCGCACATAAAATCGATCATAATCAAGATTGCATAGGATCGACGAGCAAGAACATAAACACAGTGAGATTATATGATCTACAAATTTTAGGTAAGATTCCGATTTTAAAAACGTTAGGGTTCAGGAAATAGATCTACAAAGGAATCACATCATGAATTGAAATAAAAACTGTAGTTAATTACGTTTTCAACTCAGTTGTTGCCCCATGTGTACGCTTTCGTCATCACATCACTTAAAAAATTGCTTGCATTATCCATTTCTTTTGTAACTTAATTAGTCAATTAGTTGCTTGAATCCAAACCCTTCCCAATCACTTCAATATGTAGCCCTTCGTTTGTTTTGATGTTCACAAGTGACAAAATGTTCAACATACGTTTGGAAATTGCAATTGGAATAACGATGGTGGAACAATTTTTTGTCAAGTTTTTCGGCTTCACAATTATTCCAAAATGAAATTTCCATAACAGGAGATTTTAAAGAAATAGAGAGATCATGAATATTAACTATTAAGTACAAACAGATCAATGTCGATCAAAGTACTCATTATTCTCATAATATAGAGCTAAGCGTAAAACATAAAGTACAACGGTTCCAACGATCCATCACATGCACATAGCATGTTATGGGCCTATTGAACTCTTTATTAGTTACCTCAAATCTTTTCATTTTTCACAATAGCCTTTGTTAACTTATTTAGATTGAGCTAACCATGCCATCCTCTGATGAATCTTTGGTGACTGGAGTAGCCAAACTAGAAGAATTCCCATTCACAAAATTACACTGTGTTCGGATTTCTCCATCAGATCCAGTTAGCACACTAGTGTTACCCATTTTTATCATTGATGCCACAAAGTTTTCAAAGAAAAGAGTTTGGTTACTACTGAAACTGTTGACTAGGTTAATGGTATCAGCACCACTTGTGGAAAACAGTTCTTGGTCACTCTGAAGCAAACCATTTTCAAGCTGAAGATTGGAATAATAATTGGAGTCAAATATATCAGGAGTGGTTAGGTCCAAATTGGTGAGATTAGTCCCATTTCCACCATTGGGACATATTACTTGAAGTGATTGTAAGAGGGTTGTGTTTAGAGTTGGATCAGCAGTGCCATTACCGCTAAAATTGTATAATCGGTTCACGAAAACACTGCAATGAGCTCTGCCAATTGTATGAGCACCTGAAAATGAAACTTATTTAATCACAAATATGCAATACCATAATTTATTGATAGACGGATTACGTAAGTTGCACTATCATTGTTGATCATTGATCATACTTACAATTATTAATTTTAATTTATTAATTATGTGAGTCATTGGATACAATTATATCAATTATTAAGAATAAGTGTATTTCTGAAAGGGAGGAGTTATATTGACAAAATTTTCTCTTACAAACTTACAAATTACATTAAATCTGACTAGTGAGACTTTAATCAAGAGTGTATGACTAGTCAGAGTTTAGTGTAATTTATAAGTTTGTAAGAAATTTTTTTTGTCAATATAACATTTTCCTTCCTGAAAAGTAAAAATTTCATACCTGAAAGTGCAACTAGATCAGTAGTGTTGAGGCCTTGAACAGCAAAGGCGGATTTAAGTTGAGTTAGGTTGAAGGTGGGAGCTGGAAGATTTTGATTTGCAAGAGTTTTGTTTGCTGTTAAACTATCTCTTCTCCCCAATGGAACTTCCCAAGTAGGACCATTAGCCTGCCGATTATTTGTATTTTGTACTATATGAGAAGGACAAAAATAGAAAGAAAAAATTTGAACAAATATACAAGACAATTCATGCATGCCTTTCATTAAAATTAAAATTCTATATATAATTAAAAACTTATTTGTATCCTTGATAATGATTTATTTCTACTAATTCTTCCATCTCAGTTTTTTTTCTTTATTCTTTTAAAATTGTCAAATAGTACACGTAATAGCATAATTTAGAGGAGACCATCAAATTGATCCAAAAACAAATCAATGATTTTTATTTTTGAAAAAGGATGAAAATTAAAATAAAAGGAAAGTAAATTTTAAGAATACATAAAAATCCCTTTTTGTTCAATTTCTATTCAAATTTGGCATAAATTCTAAAACTATTGTATAAAACATCGAGAAAGAAATTCGCTCGATTTTTTCCCAACTTTTTTCCCACTAAAAATTCCTATTCTTAATAAAAGTAAAGTGAAATGTTAGGATATCAAAAAAAAAAAAAAAGTATAAAGTGAAATGGTAAAGATAATATGTGTCCTTTTCTTTCCCATAACGAATGTGATGCATACTGTTGTCATTACAAAAGTCGTTGCACAACTATTTGGTGCAGAGGAACAAGGATCATAAATTTATTTATTTTTTGATAAATCACATATATTCTTCATGTGAGGTAATCTTCTTCGGGGCAGATCCAAGATTAAGACTTTAAAACCCTCACAAAAATAATAATAAAAAAGATGAACACATGCTGTTATCCATGTACTCAACTTTGATGCGCCAATGGAGCTATTCTTATTTGGTTAAAGATCACAATTTTAATACTTATTTGTCCCGACAAATAGTCAAATAATGCACAGCCTCTACACAAATGGCTAATTAATTGATTTTAAAACTAATCTAACCATTCATTAATTTACAGTTAATCACTTATTGTTATGAGATGAATTGATCAACTAATAGTCAAACCGAATAAATAATCGTCTGTGAGGAATATACGGACAAGACTCATCTTATCCAATATTCATTTTCCAGTTTGATAATATTTGGTCAGATTCTACAGGATCAAATATGTAGGACTATTATTTTAAATCAAAAGTCTAAACTGTTAAAAAACTGAATGTTATATTAATAATCTTATATTATATTTTCTTTTACAAAAATATATAAAATTTGAAAAATGAATAATACACAATTAATTTAATTATTTAATAATAAAACGAGACGATAAGAATTAAACTTGTCATGAGCTGGATAAAGAATTTATGATACAATACAAAATATCAATTCATGAATCTAATAAACTACGGGGAGAAGATTATATTAATAATTTTATATTATATTTTTTTGAATATTTTTTATTTTTTAAAAGATTCTCCTTTATGTCTTATATAAACCAGATAGCTAGTAATGGAATTCAACGTTATAGTGGAAATTCATTTCTATGGTAGCTAGGAATGGGAGACATACCAGATCAGAAGATATTTCAGCAGCAAGGGCAAGAATATCAGCACAAGAAACTATGCCAGGACAAACGTTTTCTATCGCTGTCTTGATCTGATTGATAACATCCAAACCTCTTATCGAGTTGTTATTTGGCCCTGCACTTTGCTCACTCACAATCGTAGCAGTGTCGTTCAACAAGATTGATGCATCACAGCCCTGTTACAAGCATGGCACATTATTCAACTCCATTGGCGTTAATTCTCATCAACAAGAGATTTCAGCCCAAAGTAAGAATTCATTTCTCCTGGGCAGATATTTTTTTATCGAGAAAAAAATATTGTTAAGAATTTCGTAGGAATTTTTTTATTTTGAAAAAATTAGATTAATTTTACTGATATCATGTTTGATTGATGGTATAATATTGATGAAAATTTGAATGAAATTATCAAAATACTCTTAATTTTTTGAATATGCCAAGTGAGTCATCATTAAAATGTTGTTTTTTTTTAAAAAAAGTGAATCAAATGTTATTTTTTGAAAATCAAACATCAAGGAAAAAAAATATCAAAAGTTAAGTGGAAATTTTTTTTGCCTTGTTCAAAAGGAAAATATCGCGTAAAAAAATTTGCCGGTACTTTGTTCACAATATTCATATCAAACATGATAAATAAATATTCCTTACTTCAGTTTCCTTTCGTTTCATACCAAATACGTAAATACCAGACGCTTCATTTGTCCTCGATATAAACATTTCAACATTTCAAACTGCGATACTTTTACTGACATAACATAATAAAGAGTGGTGGAGCCAGATGCACAGGATTCATTGCTTGGAGTGCCAAAAGTCTCACCAAAATTGATGAACGTGGTCAAATCATTAAGTTAATTACCTTTTTTTTAAATAAAAAAATTTAAAATTTCTAAAGAAATGTTCTGAGGATTGAGGGAGAGGATCATGTCCCTTCCGACCCTCTTTCTTCCATCAATCCATACTTTTTAATTATCTAACAAAAATAAAGTTTATAAATTGTTTTTTTTTCTTTTTTGTGTAATTGACATGGAAAAAATTAACTATCACGAGTTGTTTCAACTTAACCAGTGATTTCGAGTTTAAGTTGTGCTATATTGAAAACATGATAGGGGGAATTTTCCATCCTTGTAATTTTGAGTAACTTGAACTAGATTAATCGAATAATCAATAAAACGGTTAAAAAAAAATCAAAATAAGAAAGATTAACTTAAAAATGGAAGGAAAAAAAGTGTTGGTAGTGGAACCAAGTATTAAAGGAGTTAAGGAACGAGATGAAGAATACATACTTGAACAAAACAGTCATGAAAGTGGAGCCTGACGAGACTGGCAAGTATGCGAGGATCAGATTGTGAAACATTTGAGAGCACTTGACGTACAATTGAACTAACATTCGAACATGTACTATTGTAAAACGAGGGATCTAGCTGTGCATCTGAGAAGGGTAGTGCTCCGAGCACAACCACCACACAGCACAAGGCTATAGCAGTGACACGAAGGGAATTCATTTTTTCTTTCTAATTTTTGCAATTATGAGGATGGTGCGAGAACAAGCGGATACGAGCTTCTATTTATAGGAGGTGAATGACAAGTGAATGCAATGTCCTAAATGCATTTGATGGTTGGTACTGTTTATTAAAAGGAATAATTATTCATAATATTTATGAGAAAAATATTTATAATTTTAAATGACATAATTAAAATGAAATGACATTATTTTTGTGTATATTTGATAATTTTTTACATTATCCCTTTTTCATAAAATTAGAAAAAAGAGTAAATGAAGGAGAAAGAATATAAAAAATTATCAATTTTGCACCAAAATCAAATCGTTTAATTTAAAATAATACAAAGTTGTATTATTTAAAATAACAAATATTTTTCTATTATTAAAAGGAGTAAATGGTAAGCGCGCGATATTGGTCCAAGATCATCCGTCATCCAAGACGAACTTAATTATTTATAGGCAAATAAACGATTATTATTTCTCACTGTTTATCGTTATATATCACCATTAATTTATTAAATTAATAAACAGTTAACATCGTCCCACATAACTTGATTACATATTGATATGGATGATACATCAGAGAATTATTCCTCTTATTCGTGACTAGAAAAAATAAAAATGCTATTTAAAAATTAAGGTGGAAAAATTCAGCTAAACTTAATTAAGATTATCCTATAAAATAAAGAGTAAGTATAAAACAATATATCAACTCATATATTGTAAATTTTTTTTTTTTTTTGCATAAAACCAAATGGTGGTAGCTCAATTAGCGCATCGGAGCTAAGCAGGTGGGGGTGAGAGCATGTGTTCGAATCTCCCTAGTACCACATTTGGGAGATGTTTAAAGCTTTATTCCTGGACCCGTCCCGAATCGAATTAGTTGCGAAGCAATGAACCGATTGGAATATTTTCAAAAATTTTTTTTGCATAAATAACATGACTGTTCATAGTTTTTCTATTGAAAAATTAATAATACTTCATGTCATTTGTGCACGTCATCGCCTCGGCATCAAGCCGTAATGTTATCAAAATCGGCCCAGTCATTGACCCGGTCGACGTAGTGGGTCACTGGTTCAACCGCATGATCCGGTAATTATATGCAATTTTATAATTTATATTAAAAAATTATAAATATGCTCAAATATCTAAAAAAATGATAAAAGTTTCAAATATTTTAATTAAAAAATAATAAATCACATATTATTATCCAATAAAGGATCAAACAAAAATATAATGATCGTGATACGGGACTTTAGGTTCAGAAAACGACATCTCTAATTATAAATCAAATCAAATTTTTTTGCATAGTGCATAATTGAGATAATATTAGTGTTATAGATACATAACTTATGTAAGTCAATAAACAAACAAATATTCAAATATGTCCATTATGATTTTTTTTTGGACCGAGTGGGGTCACCGGTTTTCATGAAAATCGGCTGGGTCAGACCGGGTCCACCGGTTCTGATGCATGGCTGGTCTGTTGCTTCAATCGGACCGGTTATATGACCGGTTTACCGATTCCCGGGTCGACCCGGCCGGGTTGGTCCGGTTTTCTTAACAATGCCAAGTCGTAACCTCGCATACGTGTGCAGTCATAAATTATTATATAAAAAATATAAGTAAAATTAATAATAATCAGATAAAGTAAAATTAATTATATTCAGATAATGAAAATTGCAAGAGTATGATATAATCGTTATTGATATCTTTCCTAGTACCATCTTTAGAAGGAGTTTAAAGTCTGTTATATATGTATGTATATATATACACACACACACACACACAAACTACACTATGTATGACCGGTAAGAAACTCTTTAGTAGAGTGTTACCGGTCAGATATAATGTAATTTGTAAGTTTATAAAAAATTTTTTTATCAATATAACCCTATTATATGTGTGTGTGTGTGTGTGTGTGTCATTGGTGGAACAAAATTGGGAAATGTATAAGTGTATGATGAGGCAACTAATGATCTTGCAAAAGAAATAACTGCTAGGGGCATTAACCTCGTTTATGGAGGAAGGCTACAAGGCTTAAGGAGAAGTGTTGCACTGACTGCCGCTAAAGGAGGAAGCCATGTTATGGGCATTAGACTACAACATTCAAATGATCCTAACACATTTGCTTATACCATAGGTACAAATCATGCATAAGCGAATGTGGTATATGCTTCAATATGCCAATGCTTTCATTGCATTACCTGGAGGATTAGGAATGTTGGAAACCTTTTCCAACATTATATCATAGGCAAATATGAACATTCATAAAAAAACCATTAGGTTTATTAAATGTTAATTTATTTTATGATGGTTTACTAACATTTTTAGACCATGCAGTAGAAAAAGGACTCATGACTCTGGAGGCAAGACAGTTGATAATGTCTACATCAAATGTCAAGTAATTGATCGACTAGATAATAAGCATGGTGCCAGAGCTTGGTTTGCCCATGGGACAAGTGGATCAAAATCCTCAAGACATAGGTGTGAGAGATGAGCCAGACACTAGTCTTCATTTGTAATTTAATTATCACAATCCACTTGTATACAAAAAGCTTTATTTCATTGATTTTCTTCCACAAAGAGATTCATGTCATATAGTTTGCATCAAAATATTCTACCAATGTAAAATCTCCATATCATGGATAGGTTCTTGAAGATAACCAAAATATGATTAAAGTCATTCCAATATCTTAAGGGATAACACTATGTCTAGATAGAACTTTTACTACAAATACAATATTAGGCTTGTTACATCTTGCAGAGTATAATAGTGTTCCTATGACACTTAAGATTAGGAGCTTCAGGTCCTAATCCTTTCTCATTAGTTTCGTTTGATCTAAATGGATCTACATTCACTTCTATTGAACTGATCATCATTGGGGCACTTATATAGTAACATTGGTGAAATAAAATAACTATTTTTGGAAGATGCACGATTTGTGTGCCGAGATAATAATATGTTTGAGACCACCATCAATGATCTTTGCAGCTTGATGCTAAACATGTTGTGAATTTCATTCTTCCCACATGTGATATAGGAAATCCTTCAAGGATTTTCATATAAATATCACCGTCAAATTACATTGTAGTCACGATGTCCATCAAATGCATCTCAAGATGCTTCATAATTGCCACACTGATCAAGTAACCAAAACGTAATAAAATCCATTATGAGAGAATAAGAAACATCATAGTTGATGTCGAGTCTCTACGAAAACCCTTGTTCTACCTTAATTGCCTCCTTCCATTCATTCAAATCTGTATGCTTCTGGCATTCTTGAATGGTTTTGGTTTCTGGATCCAAATTATCTCTTGAGACAACAAGAGCTATTGAGAAGGAAAATGAGTCATCGACGACAATTATCGTTTTATTATATTTTTCTCCTATATTACTATAGTATATTGCAACTTTTATGTGAGCATCAACGAAATCTTCGTCGTTTCCAAGACATTCAGATTTGGCCATTTCCTATTCAGGAATTGTAGTCATTAGCAGCTACACTTATTTCACCGGGTTCGCTTCTTCGGGATTAACCTCTTCAAGGAACGCGATGCCTGACTTATTTTTATTTTTTCGCGGAGTTATGTCTTTAGTCCCTGGAGGTCATTCACCCTTCCGGCGTTGACTATTATAATAACTCATACCTTTAAGATTTAAAAATGCCATATGATTAGTAGGTTTTATAAGCTTTGGCAAGAAAGATTTGTAAATTATGGATTAAAACAAGCCTTTTATGCAATTGATGGAAAATCAATCATGTGAGGGACATGATATTGTGAGTAAAAATGCCATTCATGCCAAGCAAGTCATTTAATACTCAATGATGTGAATGATATAGGACTATTTTGTATGATATGCCATTATGGTGAAGGTTTAGAACTATTTTGTAAATAGACAAGATTTGGTTCAAACTCGAATTGAATGTTATAATTAAATTATTTAGAAAATTCTATGAACTTTAAGTGATCTTAGTTTCATCTATTTATGTCTAGAAAAATAGATAAAAATGAGTCAAAGTTTGTAAAGTTAATAACCAATAGAATTTTATATAACTTTGAAAAGTCAAAATTCATGTAACTTTTTTAAACTTCCTTGCTTCAAGTCAGTTGCCTCTTTATATACTCATTTCTTTCCTCTCCATTGCTTCTTGAATGCCGAGAGCTCCTTTTGGATGAAGGGAAAGCTAGAACTCAACTAAACACTTAGATTTAGGTCATGACTTCTAAATGAAAATTGAAGAGTAAGGTCTTGAGAATAAACTCTAAGTGAGAGTTCTTTGTAAGAAACTTTATCTTGAGAGATATTTTCCTCCATTGGTGGAGCCCCTTTGCTTCCCAAGATGGTTTAATAGGTTATTTTTGAAGTCTTCTTGTTGGAGAATGTTCTCTAGCTTCTAGAGAAGCCATTTAAGGTATGAAACATCTTCTTCCACGGCTCTATATAAATATGGAAATCGGGTTTTATGTGTGTGTTTGATGATTTTCCATGGAGGTTTGAGATGATGACATGTTAGGGGTTTGTCTTGATTATGACTCATTATTGTTGGTTGATGAATTCTTCTATGAAAAGGATTGAAAAATCGAAAAATAGGTTATCCTTGAAAACACAATATGGATCAGCCTATGTAGGTTTAAATATGTAGACCATGTGTTCGTATAATTGCCTATGTGAAATCATAAAATTGAAATAGTTTTATGATGTTTTAAGTGATGAAAATTGATGACAAGTGGTAAGAAAGATTGGTAAAAAATATTAGGGTATTTCAGCCCTAGATTTTATAAGGTACATGGAAGGGATTTTATAAGGCTATAAGGATGTTTTAATAAGTTATAGATGAATTAAAATTGACTATAACATAATCCTATGGTTGGAAGTTTGACAAATTCAAGTATTTTCTCTTTATGTGATGCCTCGACCTTTTTTATAAAAAAAAAAAGGGTTTGAGGTTGTTTATATGGTTTGTCATTAAGAATAGGGTATGTTAAGTCTTATGGTGATGAATGG